ACAGAGAGAGAGACACAGCGAGAGAAGGAACACAAGCAGGGGGAGTGGGAGAGGGAGAAGCAGGCCTCCCGTGGAGCAGGGAGCCCGACACGGGGCTCGATCCCAGGACCCGGGGATCATGACCTGAGACACCTAACCACTGAACCACCCAGGTGCCCCCAGATGTCCATTTTAGAAACGGGGGGCTGCGTGGTATCACAAAGGCCAAGGAAAGAACGGTATTTCAAGGAAGAAGAAGGGAATGACAGACGTTGCAGGGAGGTCCAGAAAGATAGGGACCGAGGCCTGTCCATTGGCAAACTGCTGGAAGCATTGGGGAGAGGCTTCTGTGGGGCAGTAGGAATAGAAGGCTACCTGCTAAGGCAGAGCCTTGAGGAGGGAGCAGTGTGAGAAGCAAGAAGATAGAGATAAGGGAGGACATTTTTTCCAAAGGTTTTTGAGTAGGGAGAGCATCCTGAAGGCAGGAGAGAGCTGGATTGAGGAAGGCTGGGGGAGGGAAGGGAGGGACCCTGAGGGGATGAGGCCCAGGCAGGTCTGGCCCTGCAGGAGGCTCAGCTCCCCAGGTGGCAGGAAGGGGAGGGTGGAGGCACATTCAGATTCTTTTTGGGAAATCCAGGGACTCTCCCCTACCAGCTGATGACACTCTATAAAGTTGGCCTTGCCCAGCTGTGCTGTGACCCAGCGGCCCCTGGTGTTGTCTCCCGAGAGACTGTTCGTAGTACAGAAGGCAACACAGAGCACATGCAATCTCCTTGCCTCCATTGGGCAAACGAATAATTAATTAGTTGGGAGCAGTGGAGGGTCATAGGGCAAGGGGAGGGCAAAGCATAGTGTTTTGGGGAGTGGCTGTCTTGGGAGGACCTGGAGGAAGAAGGGTCCTGGACACAGGCAGGAGGGGTGCAGGGCCTGGGAGAGGGGAGCAGACAGTGGCCCTGTGCAGAGGCGTGTGAGAGGAGAGCGGGAAAGTTGCCCGGGAGTGGCTTATGAGACTGTGTAGACATCCTGGTCTAAAGGGGCAGAGGTTTGTCAGGGAGGGGAGGCAGGAAGGGGTAGAAATGGGGTGGGGAGATGAACTTTTGTACCTCGCGAGGGAATTCCTTTCTCCTGCCCCAGGCCATGCCAGGTGCCTTCCTGCAGCCCATCTCATTTGATCTCCTATAATTCTCCCAACCTGCCTGGGAGAACATGAGACTGTGAGGAAAATGATTGCTGTGGGTCGTCTCACTGTAGAAATAAGGAACCTGAGTCTCTTATTCTTGAGGCACTTGACCTAAAGTCACAAAGCTCCTATGTAGCCGAGAGAGAGTTTAAACCCAGGCTGGTCTGACTCCAAAGCAGGCTCAGTCCACCCCCAAAGGGAACCAAGGAAGCCCCTAGCAAAGAAGAGCCCATAATCAGGGGGAAGGATACTGATGTAGGGCAGGGATAGGGCATTGGACCTTCTCAGGCCTCTCAGGGGCCCAGATGATGTCACCTGCCCAAGGGACTGCTGGGCTCACCTCCCAGGCTTTGTCAGGTGTCCAGCAAATTCCAGCAGCCAGGGGGAGGGCAGACCCAAGAGTGAGGAGTGGTAGAAGAGACAGGGCACAAGGCAATCGTGATGGCAGGTATCTGTTCCCCAAAACAGCTGACCTTGAAGTTCAAAGTGGGTAAGGAGACAAGGGAAGCCGAAACAGGGTGGGGACTGCTCTGGAGTGGGGGTTGAGCCCGATTCCCACCTTGCCCCTCCTCCCTCTGTAAACACCCTGGCCCACTCCTTCATGCTTCCCTGGCTCTGCAAATACTGTTCCCTCCCCCTGGAATCTCCTTGCCTCCTCCTCCTTCAAGGGCAGGTTCACACGTCCCCCTCTTCCCACCTTTTCCACCCTCCTCCCACCCTTAGCTCCCTCTTCTGGTCCCCAGACTACTAGCAAGCAGGTTTTTCCTTTTCCTTTTCCTTTCCTTTCCTTCCTTCCCTCTCTCCCTTTCTCTTTCTTTCTTTTTTTCTTCCTTTCTCTTTCTTTCTAGTTTTTAGTAATCTCTACACCCAACGTGGGGCTGGAACTCATGACCCTGAGATCAAGAGTCACATGCTTTTCAGAGAGCCAGCCAGGCGCCCCTAGCAAGCAGATTTTCTGATCGAGGAATAGGGTGCCAGCTGAAAGATTCATTCATGCCAGTCTACCTACATTCCTCTGCAGGATCATCCAGCTTGAAATACCATCACACGCTGGCAGCGCTGAAATTTGTGTCTCCTGCCTGGACTTCTCCCTGCTGAGTTCCAGACGCTGATCACTCCACATCTCTATGTGAACATACAAAAGACATCTTAAACCTGACATAGTCAAAACCGAATTCCTGATCTTCCCCAGCCCCGCCCTCATCTTGCTCCTTCCAAAGTTGCCTGCGTCTCCGTTGAAGGCTCTCCACTTCTCCCGTAGCACAAGCTAAAAACCTTGAAAGGGGGGCACCTGTGTGGCTCAGTTGGTTAAGCGTCTGCCTTCGGCTCAGGTCATGATCCCAGGGTCCTGGGATCCAGCCCCAGGTT